TTCCAAGCCTGTTTTAGTATTCCGAAGTCATCCAATCGTTCTGATCTTGCTTTATGCCACAATAAATTGATTTTTTTATTCAACAATTTTTATTCATGTATAATGTTGTTGGAAATGTTAACTGCCTAACAATGCACATTGGCGATTTATTGAATAATTAGTGGTTTATGTTAAAAAAACAATAGAACAACAATTTCTTTCGTTTGTTTTGTTCTGATGAAACATTATTTGGTAGATTTTGGAAAAGTTGTTACATCGAATTACATTCTGGTCAGGTAAATTTTAGTAATAAGCAATTTAAAAACAAATACATCTTAATAGAAAAAATCATTACAACCAGAATATCGTTCGCTGAAAAAGAAAAATTAATCAATCATTAAAATGAAGTTATTTTATAGAACATCAATCTACAAATATTGAAGAGCCAACAGTAAAATTAAATGAACAACATACTTTCAAAACAGTTTTCAATTCAATTCCACTCAATTTCATTAAAAGTTTTATAGGTCGAGGCAAGCAAATTTTTAAATTAATTCCATCTAAATAAAGAAGCACGAAACAAATGAAACATTAAACAATCGCAACCACTTAATTAATTCTACTGCATCCAAAATTTTTCTTCATTTAGCCTTGCCTTAATTTACAAATTATCCACTCGGTAATGCGTTTGTAAGTTTTGCAAGACATGGTAGGTTAGCAAAGGAAATAACAATGGAAGGTTAGTAAAAAGACCCACATGAAAGAAATATTTACACTGAAAATAATTTATAAAACGTGACACACACAAAAAAAACACACAACAACTTCTTCAAAACAAAACTGGACTACACAAAAACATCAAAAACAATTCCTAACATTAAGCCTGCTGGCAAAATCAGGACCACCATTACATCAATCACATACGTTATTCAAAACTAATTTTTTCTTTTATTAATTTGATTATTTGAAACAACAACAACAACATGATTTAAAACAGTTTTACGTAACTTCATTAATAAAAAAGCACATCATACGTACGTAATTACCCTTATCTACAATAACAATTAGAACATTTCTGTTAACAATAGTATTTCAATAATGTTAACAATTTTAAAAACCTCACTATAATACTTTCTGCGACAAAAAATAATAATATTAAACAACAGAATCTTCAAACAGAATCATCAACAACAGCAACAGAAAAAGAGGAAAAGCATCATGGAGCTGCGTACGTGCTAATGAGAAAATGGACAGAGAGATGCATGCACGGATCTCAAAAGAGCACAATAGCTCACGTGGATAATAAAACAACTATATTTCAACAACAAAACAACAGCAATAACAATAACAACATACAAGCTGCCACAAAACAACAGCAACCACATACAAAACAGCAAGATACTAAAACAACTCACAAACAGTATCTACCCCATGTTCTTTTACGAAAACATCTAAAATATGACAAGAGCGACGGTGTAAATAATAAAAAAACAACCTTATTACTTCCATGACAAAATTATTTTATGCATCTACATTAAGCAAATCAGAACAATTTGACAACATGGAAACTACATCAAAAAAAAAAGTAAATCTTTTAAAAATTAATAGAAACAAATCAACAGAAACATAGAACTAAAGTTTTTATTAAATTTGGTTATTACCTGGATGTGAGCATGTGGCTGATTTTTCTCTCCTCTCTCTCTTTCTCTCTCTTTCTCTCTTTCTCTCTCTCTCTCTCTCTCTCTCTCTCTCGAATAATTTAAACTACATAACAACAAATGTACCAACTTGACTAATAAAAAAAAAAAACAAAATCTAAACAACAAACACAACTAAAGACAAACATAATTAGTTACAACTCACAAACATTAATCAACACAATAAAAACTACCAACCACTACCAAATATATTGCACAGAAAAATATAGTCAAAAACCACAAAGAGACAATAAACACTAATAATTATTGCCAAAATAAAGATGAATAGTTACGAAAATATACTATTCAGTTGCATAACTCAATAAAACATCTAAATGCTGGGGGAAGTATAAAATGCAGCTTTTAATTACAAATTTATTGTGTTGTGTGTTTTGTGTGGCGTGTGTGTGTGTGTATGTGTGTGTGTGTGTGTGTGTGTGTGTGTGTGTGTGGTGTGTGTGTGTGTGTGTATTATTTAATACATGTGTACTTTTGTGTTCACGCGTTGTTTTTTAAAATTTTGTTTTCTGACGAACGAGCGTATAAATTTATTTCAAAGAGTTTACCATTGTGGCCAGACAATTTTCACAGAAGACATGCAAACAACGCTAACTAAGTGCGTTCAAACGTCCGAGGAATTAGACACAAACAAATAGAACTATAAACAAATATTCAAGTTTATATGATGCATCCGCACGGATTATATAAAAATAAACCTACACACGCACACCACACACACACACATAAACACACAAACACCCACATACATACACACACAGCGTTCACTGAGATAATAGCATTAATTACGGCATGTTAAATGCATACACTTGCCACCTCTCATATTACATTTTTATTTCCTATTTAAACAGCAGCATTGTCATATCAGTTTCGCCCTAACAGTAATTTTAGATCATTGAGATTTATTGTGGCACTCATTGCATTCATATATACATAGGTTTTTGCTGCTGCTGCTGCTGCTATAGCTACTACTACTATTACACTACTACTATTACTACTACTACTACTACTACTACTACTACTACTACTACTACTAGTAGTAGTAGTAGTAGTAGTAGTACTACTACTACTACTACTACTACTACTCCTACTACTACTACTACTACTACTACTACTACTACTACTACTACTACTACTACTACTACTACTACTACTCCTACTACTACTACTACTACTACTACTACTACTACTACTACTACTACTACTACTACTACTTCAACTACTATTACTTCAACTACTACTACTAATAATAATGTGTGTGTTTGTGTATATATTTAAACATCAATATTATAATACTTTACATAATTAAAAAAAAAATAAACCCATACCAACCCTGTTAAATTTCCTCCGTAAGAATTTGCATATCATCCCGTCTGAATATGTACTGTAAATGTACACCAACTTTTCTATGCAATCACTCGATTATTAATAAGGACGCATTGGCAGATTTTTTGCATGTCTGCCGGCACTACAGTTACGTTATTTTTTATATGAGGCCCGCAGCAGCAAGCCAGCAGGCGATTATTTCATTTCAATGAATTATTTAATTCAATTTTTATCATTTTTTTGGCTGACGATATAATATTCTTTAATCCTTTTCTCCATACCATTTTATCTATCTTTTATTTGGATAAAATTATTGTGAAAAGGTTTTCCATACTAATTATTCTACATTTTATTTCTTTGGATGAATTAATTTTGTCAATTGTTTTCTTTATCATTCAATTATTCTTAAAATTATGAGATTTCATTTATTCAACGCCGATTGGCTATTGCATTTAAAACTGGTTATAAAGTCAGGAAAGACTGTTATCATCAACATCCTAATCATCGTTGTAATTTGCGTCTGATTTTGATTTTGTTTTTTTCTGAGATGCATAAACAAAATTTGTAACGAAATTATTTTAATTTTGAAAAAACTAAGCATGTTGTTGTCCGTCGTCACTCAAATGAATGGATTGGACAAAATTCAATCTATCAATTAATATTATATATAGGTGTGCAAAAAATTTGAGTATTTTATAATTAAAACGTTTTGGTTAATAGCAAAACGTGCATGTAAAATTGGTGTATTTGTGTGTTTGGGCGTTTTTTGTGTTAATGTGTGTGTTTAAGTTGTGAACGTGTGCGTATGTTTGGATCTATGTGTAGGTACGTTTGCATGTGTGTTCGTGTGAATGCAGCGTGGCGACACCACACGACACCACTTCGCAGAAAGCTCACGTCGGCCGCGGTAATTGTGCCTGCAGTGATCGTAGCATGATAGCCACGTCGTTAAATGTCGATGTTCATACACGTTCACTGCCAGCAAGATATTCACGCTTTATTAGTCTAAATTTTATGACGTGGTTCTTGACAAACAAACAGGAGTCTGATCTTTTGTTGGTTTTGGCTGTTCATTGTTGTTGAGCGTGTGTTTGCACTTTTGATTTTTGTTCAAATAATAATAATAATGTCATTTTATATAACGCCATGGCAAGCGACTGAGGCGCATGGTTGTTTGTTCAATTGTTTGTACGTTGAAATTGTTTAAGTAGCTTATTTTATTAAACGAAACCAATTTCGACCTAAATCATACTTTTCGGTACACTTTTCACCAATTTAAACAAAGATCTTATTTTTAGGTTAGTATATTTTAAAATAATTTTAAGCCATTTTACAATTTTGTGACATATGAAACAGAATTTCCAACAAAAGTACTTGCCTCCTCTTTTGGCGAATATTCCATAATTACAGAAACTTATGTTAACGCGATTAATTGTAGTATATCATCAAATATAAAAATAACATTTCTTAAACAAAATTAATTCGAAATAAAATTAATTTGCTCTCAATGAAATAAAATTTTAAAAATGTTACTAAATGTTCTAAAACATCGTCATAATAACTTCATATGAGATTCGGCTTGTGATGAACTAAGCAAAATCTATAGAAGTGTTTTTCTGATAGAATAAAATGCGAGAAATATAAAGAGTTTTCAATAAACTCTTAAAAGCCATAAAAATTTGCGCAATAACTTGAACAGCGGGAAAAATATTAAGCTGGTTGATTGTTTGTGGAAGCGCACTAAGTGTTTTTTAATTCTTTCCTTCGGCTTTTGCTGTCCTCGTCCAGCCGGTTCACTGTTGCAAACGTCGGTTAAAATAATTAAGGCCTAATTTGAAAAGACATGAACAAAGGAAGTGTGAACTCATAAATATAAATGAAAACTTGCCAATGACAAAAATAATTCCTTAGTAATTCTTTTCATTTAAAATTTCGGATAAAAAAATGTTTCAATAAAGCCAAGTAAATAATGGAAACTCATTTTTTGTGTAGTAATTTTATTTCAATTTTTTCACGTTTCGATATTCTGCAACTAATGACAAAATTGTAACACCTTCATGATAATATGGGGTAAACTTTTTCATTTTGCTATTTTTTGTTCAACATTTTCAGTTCAGCTCATATTTTCATAGCAATTTTTTACGTCGGAAATGGCGATATATATATAAAACAATCTGTTCTGGGTTCTAGGTTGACTGCAAAAAAATGCAATTAATAATTAATTTAAACACAATTTTATTTTGCTGTTTTACAGATTACCTTAGCTGTAAGTACAACAGGGGTGCCAGTGTGCATGTGTATTAATTTCTATATTTTATCATTTAATGAAGAAAGAATATTTGTATTAGTTATAATTAAAAAATCAAATCTTGAACATTGTACTGGTACATATGTGTGTTTAGATTATGAACAAGTACTTGTGTGTGCAAAACAAATCGTAACAAAAATAATTTGAGTTCATTCAACTGAAGAATGCTTTTTCGTCGTTCTTGTGGGAACTTTTCTAAAAAAAATACAGCAATAATTTATGTAGATTTGAAAAAAAAATTATACAATTGTTTACAAAAGCATTGAAAAACAATATGAAGAACAGTAGTTAGGCACTTTGAGACATCTTAGCGATAGCCTACACCTCGTTATAACACAAATTGAATAATGCTTAGATAACGAATGAATGAATGAATGAATGAATGAATGAATGAATGAATGAATGAATGAATGAATGAATGAATGAATGAATGAATGAATGAATGAATGAATGAATGAATGAATGAATGAATGAATGAATGAATGAATGAATGAATGAATGAATGAATGAATGAATGAATGAATGAATGAATGGCAGCAAAGGTGAATGGAGGACAGCACACGTGGATAAGTAAATGAATCAAGGACAGCAATAAATTCTTCACAAACCTTTTTAAGCATGGTCTTAACTCTTCTGGCTACCTCCCCGTAGTCGACATCACCAGGGGCACCAGGGGGACCACGCGGCCCTTCAATGCCCCTCGGCCCTGGGTCACCTACAAATTTGTTTTATGGTGCAAAAATATTCTTTCATTTGTTTGCTTTGTTTTATTGAGTTGTTGTATATATTACATATTGATTTATTCCATTGTATCAATGTTGCTAGATAACGATGTTGTTATTTTTATTGTTTTATAAAACTTATTGTTAGTGTTGTGACGGTTACCGTTGTTATTGTTACGTGATGCGTTATGTTGATTTGCATCATTCTGTCGTGGAATCATAAAATTTGGCGTAGTGATTTTATGATAAGAGCAAGTCATCCTGCAAAACGTCATAAACAAGAAAAACCTTCCCATGCCAGTCGTGACGTTCCGTGGTAAATTTACGATTGCGCTCGTTTTTCAAGGCACTGTCGAAACATTTGCATTGGAGAGCGCTTAGGCTGTTTGCTCATTTGAATAACTTTTTTTAAATAATTCTTGCGGGTGTTTATGGCTGTAGAGAGCTTAATGGTGTGTGTGGACCTGCTAGGCTACTGCAGACAAATTTAATGTCCTCAAAAATTTCATCGCATTCATGCAAGTTTCAAGGTTTGCATAATTTATAAGCAGTGTCGGAGTCGAAGTTGGTTTTTTCATCTGACTCAGACATCCTGTTTATTGGACTATTAGTTTGTAGATGTGACAATACCCCATCCCCGCACTATGTTTTGCTTGTCATTATTTAGATGAAAATTTAAATAAATTTCGTGAACTACATTAACAGATGAAACAAAAGTTGAAATGCAAAAAAGGTTTGATTATTAGCTGTATGCTTAAATAATGCTAGAAAGAACTGGGATTGATGAAATTATGAAGACAATGAAGGATAATAAAGATAGCGTATATTATCGTGAAAGGAAATGATGATGGTGGTGATAAAGATGATAACAATGATTAAAATGTGAAATAAAATTGCAACACACGCCATAAAAACTGCACAGCTTTCGATGATGATTGCAAAAAAAACCCTAATGAACCCTGTTGTAAGAAGCAATAAAAACACTTAGGACAATAAAAAGGAAGATGCCGACAATTAGGACGACGACAATAACGAGGACGACAGTCACGATGAAGACAACGCCGATAACGATGTCAGACGTGCGCACATGGCAATTCAAACGTCACAATTTGCAAAACGAATCACGTGACAGATTGGAAAATTATTGCGGAGAAAAGAAGTACCTCAAATGAGCTGACGACAACTTAACTGAAGCGAAAGCGCAATCCATCATCAAAATTATGAAGAAAAAAGTCGTTGATAAAATTAATGTGGCATTAATGCTGGCGATCGTGGTGATGGTGATGGTGATGTTTGTGGTGATGGTGATGACGATGATGATATAGATATGGTGAAAATTAACAGGTAATGAGGATGCTGAGAAAATGATAATGCCGACGATGATAGCAACGATGATGACGACCAAAATAATCATCTCGATAACCAAGTCGATGTGAAAACATTGCCGTTGACAATTAGGCCTACATTTAAAACATTTATTGTGATAATGTTGAGAGAATTGCTTCAGTTAGTGCTACACACAACTTCGTCTAATTAGGAGATAAAAACGTAATGGGAATAAATAAGCGGAAACAAGTAGCACTGCTACCATGGCACAGTTGATGCATAAAAAACATTTGATGTACCCACAAGCGCTATTAATTGAACCCATGCACGATATTTTTTGTCAGCCATGCACAAATCCGCATCCCTGCGTTACTCTAACTCTTCTTTCTGTTTTTATTTTCATTATTTCACAGCTTTTTCACTACATATTTTTGCTGCTGTTGTTCATAACTAATGTGTAACCGTGAACTGGCAGAGTTTATTTCTAGTTGCTGAATACATATGCCAGCCTGGAAACAATTTTTTGTAATTTATGTTGCTATATATTTGGCATTCGTGTTTTTCTAGCCTCAAGATTTAGTGCCAGAAGTTCTCTCTTTTCATTTTCATTTATTTATTTTATTTTTCAATGATTAAATGCACGGGTATTATTTTTAATTGAAAATAATCTCATTAGAAACGGTAAATTTTTTGAATTAATGAATTGCAACTAATTATAAACGTTTGACAATCAATTTTCTGCTCATTGTTCCTTTAATTGGAATTGTTTTCTTGTTCATTAGCTACTTTTCTTATTAATGAAGTATAACTTTTATAACTGCAATTTCATTGTTGTCGTCAATGCTTTCGTTTTGAGACTATTGAAACTTGACGTGTTTGTTAATTTTAATAACGAAACTTTTGATTTCCGCCACCATGAATCAAGCCTCCAGTATCAAACAACGATTCATTCTATCATTTTTCAATTTTTTGCTTAAATTTTTCATTACATTTTTTCAATATTTCTAGAAAAAATATGTTTAAAAAAGTTTAAATTTTTTCCCAGAAATATTTAACTTTAAGGAAAAGAAGAAGATAAAATGAGATAAAAAGCTGCCGAGTTGTATTGGCTCTACGCTCGCGCTCGTACAAGGAAGCTTGCACACAATTTGCATTTTCTTTGAAATGGTTATTTCAAATGTACTACAATTTCCATTTTTAGAACTAAAAAAGTTTTGTAAAAAAAAAGTCGGATGATTTATTGTTAACTATTAAATTTAACTATTAATGTTTAGAAATTCCGTGATTTCATTGCACTGAATGCGATTTGTAAAGCATACAATATAATAAATGTAGAAACGAACAAATATAGAACGCAAGCAAACATGTACACATACAACAACTCAAACAAACAAACACATCAACACACCAGAAAATCAATAAATAACACAACCAACAAATAAACGTAATCAACAATAAAATCAATCAACAGTGCAACCATCAACAACCAACCAATAATAACCAAAAACAGAACTAACAACAACACAAACAACAACCAACATCAACACAGACAACAACAACCAACAACAGCAATACACACCTGTCAATCCTTGTGGCCCAAGAGGGCCAGGTTTTCCGGGCCTTCCCTCTCCCGGGGGACCAGGAGGACCCCTTAAATCTCTCACGATCTCATCCATTCTTTCTGTTTTCAAATGCAATATATACTATAAACTTATTTTATTTCAATTAAATATGAGGTAAATATTGAGTTTGATCAATAAGTTAATAAGTTAAAAAAATCAATAAAAATTTTTGTCCAACCTTCTAAAACTTTAAAGCATGCTTCTTTGATTTCTGATTTGGTAGGCGTCCTTCCCTGATATTGCATTGCAGTAGTTATAATTAAACACAAAATAGAGATTGTTATGAGTGTTTAAATATTTTGTTAGAAATAACCTTCGTTAATGCCATCACATGAAAATGCAGACAACAATATTTTCAACAAACACAAATTAAACATAATCAACCTTAGTAAAAAATAATTGCATTTGCAATGGTTTGAACAATGTCAATAAAATAATGAAGGCAAACACACTCAAGAAGCAGAACAGACACGTAAAGCCAAGATATACCTCGAGGCATAGAGCTTAAAATTACATTTAAAAAATCTCAGCGGTACTTTGTGTGTAAGCTCAATTGAATTTAATCATACGCCACTGCATTGTCCTGCAAGCATGCTGCTTGTAATTGCAGTTCTTTCGTCATTTTATGTCATCATAAGGCATAAATAAAAACGTTTGAACGACAATAAGCTTCTTACAAGAAGCGAAGGAACTCTTTACATGTTCGTTCGTCGGCAATAGAAGGACGTGACAAATTTATGGCGTTAAGAACATTTTAATGGACCGCTTTATGGTGGCGAGATTTTCAGAAATTTATTACATGCTCAGGTATTAAAAGAAAAATGAGAAAGTAAGACAAAATATATGAACTTATTTGAGACCTGCGACTGGTCAGTGTATATGTGTATGTGGGTTCGAGTCTCGGAAGGAGAATAATTATCAAACATTACCAAAATTATCACCAGAAGTTGAAAAACCACAAACTGTAAACTAAAAATCAAAGTTTGTGATAAATTGGATAGTGAAACAAACCGGTGGACCAGGATTTCCAGGTTGACCAGGAGGTCCATTCTTACCAGGGATGCCATCCCTACCTGCTGATCCTGGTGGTCCCGGTTGGCCTGCTTGTCCGGTCGCGCCTGGGTTTCCCGGCTGACCAGCAGCTCCCCTCGATCCTGGCTTCAAACCACCAAAAATATTATATTTAAATAATTACAAGTGGATATTTCAGGACAGATTTTGACGTGCTCACTCAATCAGAAAATTATTATTTAATAAGGTAAATAACAATTACAAAAATTAAAAAATAACTAGAAAAAAAACAAGTTTATGAAATGTTAAAAAAATTTAAAAAGTGTTCCAGCTACCTGTCCCTGCGAACCAGGAGGACCTTGTTCGCCGGCTGCACCCTGCGTTAATAAATGGAGCCGTGAAGGAAGATTAAAATTAAATTTATTACCACCATCATTATCGTATTTAATCAATTTCACTGCCTCCATTAGTTTGCCAATTTAGGAGGATTTTTTGTTTATAACACAACTGGAAAAGTTTAAAAACTTATAAATTGAGTGCAAGAGAGTGCTGTGATCCAAACAAAACTAATTATTGATTACTATTCGGCAATGTTCACCCACTTAAAATCGATGAAGAAGGATGAATGCCAGTTATCCAATCGGCCCATTATTTTAACATAGCCTAACCTAATCCCATTCCAATGTCATCAACAAGGTTTATTACTATTCCACAAACACAGTAGGCCCATTAAACATTAGGATGCATCACACACTTAGCAATCAATTCGCATATTTAGCACTTGAACCAAGAAACAACAGCACGCAACCGGCATTTAATATCTCGCATATAAAAATAATTTTTAAATATTGCATGCAGAATATAAAAAAATCTCACTGCAGGTCCCATGGGTCCCATGGGTCCGGGATTCCCTGGAGCTCCCTTCATGAGTTTCGAGAATCTCGTCGATATCGTGTCGTTCTCGTTGTTATTCAAAAATGACTGGCCGATTGAGGTTGGTGTGTTTTAAGCATTTATAAGGGTTAATATTTTCTTGACAATAAAACCTGTTCAAACTTTAAACATTCTTTTTACCGATAGAATTTTCAAAAACTTGATGAAATATATACTGAAGGAATTCAATCTACTTAAAAAATCATTCATAACTTCACAATTTTTTATAAAATGAACAACTGACTTACGATTAGTTGAGTAAGTTCGAAATTTGTCTGAAAATAATTATTTGGAAATTAATCTGTTATAAGAACGATTTATCGTTAACGAGATAATAAACGCCAATATAGCGTTGACAAAATGGCAAATATTAGTAATCTAACTGAAGATCCGGGAGGCCCTTGCTGTCCGGGATTGCCTGGGTTGCCTGGTTGACCCGGGTGTCCTGGTTGACCCTGAGAAAAATTTTTTTTACACAAACTAATTAAAATCATCATTTACTTTCTTTATAACTGAAAAAAGCATGTCATTACATGAAATATTGACGTATTTTGTAATAAATTAAAAAGTAAAAAAAACATTGTTTTACCGTGCTTTCATTAAACGTTACAAATTTCATTGTTGTTTAATATTTTCAACAGTTTCAATTATTTTTCAACGTGTTTGAACCTGAGTGCCGGGTCTTCCCTGGGGACCGAGTTTGCCTCTGTCTCCCGTTGGACCCTTCGGACCAGGGGGGCCTGTCTCGCCCGGCTTTCCCATAGGGCCCATATCTCCCTTTCATCATTAATGTTGTTTTAATAGTTGAGGGAAAAACATTTTTAAAGCATAAAAACACAAAAACTAACACTAAATCAAAAGGTCAATATTCAGGCAACTTACTTTTTCTCCTTTACTTCCGTGCTTTCCGTCCATGCCATCCTTTCCTGGCTCACCCTGCGTTGAAGTGAGCATTTTTTAAAACGTCACATGGACAATTGCTCATACAATTAAGCCACTGACTGACTAGATTCAAGGAAAATGTTTGATTAATTAAAAAATATATAAGAAAATATCATAAAACTTGTTCGCCAGGGGGTCCAGGCTCGCCAGTTTCACCCTAAAAAATTTTGTTCCGTAATGATCACATGAAATTTTAAAAATTCATTCAAATCATTCACTCCATTCTTTATTTCGTTTTTTAAAATGCTGTAACAAATAAAATAATTGATTGAGTTAATAAAAAATAACAAGAAAACCCAATATGATCAATGAGCAAGTGAGTATTTAAAAACGAATGTTTGGAATTCACATAAATTGAACATAATTCATTAAATTTGTATCCAAAACTGATGCTACAGAATTTATTTCGATCTAAATTTATTCAAAATAGTTATCAAATCAAACTTTAAATATAACCGCAAAAAATAATTTACAAGACTTCGATAAATTTGCCACAAAACTGATTCAAGTTTCACCAAGTTTGTTCAACTATAAAAAACGGAAAAGTTCTTGAATGCTAAATCTAAAGAGTAGAAAATTACATTTAAAAAAGTATCAACCTACCCTGTCACCCGGATTGCCCGCTCTTCCAACAAGTCCCTCTGGTCCTGGCTCCCCTTTTAATCCCGGGATGGTTTTTACCAAGTTTTTCAGTTCCTGGATTACGATGGTGGTGGTGATGGTGGATGAGCGTGGTGGCAACGATGATAACATTTATGACTATGTTGAGATTGTAGACAATGATGGAGATGATGATAAATTATGTTAACTATGATGATAAAATATATCTAACTTGTTGGAAAGTTTTGTCCAATTTTCCGGAGAGTGATACCCCCTGGCCTGGTGGACCCTAAATAATGATGATGATGATGATGATGATGATGATGAAGAAGAAGAAGACGACGACGACGACTATAATGATGATGATGATTATGAGGAGGAGATTATGAGGAGAAAGAGAATGATAATGGGGATTACAATAACGATGATTACGATGGTGTTGAGGATGATGATGATGATGATGAGAATGATGAGAATTTTTTTCAAATAACTTGTTCTCCTTTCAGTCCAGAATCTCCTTTATCACCCTGAATGTTATAATCATATTATCTTAATGATACTGTTATCATCATGTTATCATCATCATATTATTTATTATCTTATTGTCGTCACCTACTATACTTATTTTTAGGTAGGTAGGTACTGTTATCAATAGATATCATTTACATGATAAATGACATAAAATAAAAAAAAAACCATTGAACAGAATTTACTTTTTTTAAATAAACATACATTAATTCTTTATTATAAAACGTTAGGTATAACTTTTTAAGATTTATCAATAAAAAGTTATATAAACTGATGTGTTTAACGTGTGTGAGTCAATTAAAATAACAAAAACGTTAATAAGTTAACCTTAAAGCCTTTGGAACCTTTCAACTTCTCAAGTTGATCTTCTTCTATCACAGCCGCAGCCTTCGGTTTCAATTTCAAATAGCAAATTATGACAAACAATGCTACAATTTTTATTAAACAAAAATTGTCTCCAAGAGAAATGCCATCAAAACATTTCTTAACACGTTGGTTAACATTAAATTATTTATCCTTCAAGTGCCTATCACAATAAAAACAATTTATAACTTTAACACGTTGGTTAACATTAAATTATTTATCCTTCAAGTGCCTATCACAATAAAAACAATTTATAACTTTAAGATAGATTATTTTTTAGAAATGATTAAAAATATATAAATAAAAAAAAGGAAAATAATCTCACGCCTGGCGGTCCCTGTATGCCCTTATCTCCCTGAAAACAAACATTTTAGCGTTAGTAGTATACATGATGGTGCGGTTGAAATGACTCTTAAAACACTATTGATCATCGCTACAACAAGCATGGTTTTGCTTTTAATTTAATTTACTTTTGCTTTATAACATCAAGCCAAGCTTATTTTTGCAATTTTATTCTTACTTTTAGATAGTTTTATACTTTTTTCTCCTATATTTCCCGTAATTTTGATTATGTATTTTACTTTTTAAATTAGTATTCTTAGTAAAAAAGAGTAGAGTGGAAATGAAATGATACAATGAGATGATACAATGAGATGATACAATGAAATGATACAATGAAAAGATACAATGAAATGATACAATGAAATAATAAATTAAAATGATACAATGAAATGATACAATGAAATGATACAATCAATATTCATGTACCTTTTCTCCCTTGTAGCCCATCTGTCCTGGAACACCTGGATGGCCCTACGAATTTCATCAAATTGTTTCAGTTATTTTAATAAGAGCATCATACGCTGCATTCTGTCTTAATAGTAAATTACTTTCAGTAAAAAAACAATGTTCATTACGTCAAATTGTATAAAGACTGTTGTTTTCGACAAAGCAAAATTTTATTTGTGTATTAAAAAAATAATAACTAATAAATGGATAGAAAATTAAACTGGGCCAACCTGTGGGCCAACTGGACCTTGTGGACATTTAACAGTGCACTGACCACCACTTGTTTCGAACTGAAAAGAGAAAGAAGATTGAGTAGCTACATTACTATATTATTTAGCAAAATCAACAGTGAACCTTTTGTTTTTCAAATGAAACACAATCCATTTTTGATTTTAAACAAAAGGCATTGTAACAAAAAATATTGAAAAAAATAAGTACTGTAATGGTTGGTTATGCACTTACTCCTGATGGCACCATGATGGAAATTGGAAGGATTGTCGTTGTCGTTGTTGTTGTCTTCAATTTAACAAAATTTACTAATTGTTAAGTTATTCTTTAAAAAAACATTTTTATTTCAAATTGAAAAAATATATTGAACTAAGATTAAAATCACAGAAATTTAAACGGCTAATGAATTATCACATCTATTAAAGACGCACAGTTGATGAGGCATAATCAATGCATCCATCCTTGCTCAACTTCGTGTCGCAGTGCATGAAAACAGACTGCAAGTCGATCTGTGAGACAAGGACATTTGAAACATCACCATGATATTAATTTTGTATAATATTTTTAGTTTAATTTAAATTAAAATTAAAATTTGATGTCACAACATTTTTCAACTTTACCGGTGCACTGTCTATTCCATCTTTCCACCCAACAAAGGTCATCGTGCCAGCAATGTTCAAAGAGTATTCCACGAGAGATGTGGTCAGTTTTATGCAGTCCATGTAGATCTCAATCTTCCCGGGTTCAAATATGATCTGCAGCCTCTGCCAGTTTTTCTCGTACAGCTGTTAGATTGAATAACGAAAAATATGTATTTATTCAAAAAATTTTTATTAAAAATTAAAAAAACTAATTTTCAGAAACGTGGTTTCAAATTGACCACGGCATATAATAAATCATTACATGCTTTGAACAGATGGGACATTGCAACACAATAATGAAAATGTTTAAACTATAAACAGAATATAAATTTCAAAACACAATTTCATACAAATTAATCACATTTACAAATAATGCACGTAATACAGAAACGTTTCAGAAAAAAATTAAAATCAATTTCAACGAACTCTACTACTGAGTGGTTCTTTATCGAACTCGACAGTCATGGGCTCTCCGTCAGCAGAGGGCACAGTGAGGTACATGGTCTGCCCCATGATGTCCAGGTGGATGGCGAACACCACGTCACCTGTTCGTCGGTGGTGGTTTTGATAGTATGAGGTAGTTGCTAATGACTATAACCGGTTGATTTTATTTTTGTTGTGCCATTCATTTTCCTTACTTTGATTTTTGTAGGAAAAAATTAAAGTTTTTATTGATGAAATAGAATTAAAATGGAAATTCTTTTATCCATGGTTATTGGATATTTTGATAAATAAAATAATTTCAAGTGTAATTTATTTTAAATACTATTATAGTTATTTAATGCTCAACTGTTGATTTCTCGTTTTATTAGATGTGACGTTAATGGTGCGCATAAAGTTTATCATGCTAAATTAAAATTTTTAACTGAACTTTAAGACGAAGCAACACAGTAAAATTCATTCAAAAACGAATTACTAATTAACAGAAAGACAACATTTTTACCATCTTTTTTCAAATATGTGAACATCATGAATTTTATAAACAAAATTAAACTGTGTACTTTTAAAAAAAGCAAGCCTAACATTTTCTCAAAATTAACAGAAGATAAAACGATTCGAACGCAAGTGAAACTTGAAATTCAATTTTCCACGGACCATCACAAGCGGAACAAATGAAACATTAATTCAAAACAATTCAAAAGTTTTAATAACTACCTTCTTCATTTTCCAGGTGAATCAAATCAAAAATTCTTTTCGGCAGACGACCGGTCAGTCGAAAGACGATGGTCAGAAGAAATTTTTCGGGTAGCGGGTCAGGGAAAACAGAGCTATTTTTGGATTTATTCACTATTATTTACCTTCAAATCAGCATTACATTGAGCCGTTATATCTTAAATATTACAGATCAATAATCTAATTTTAAATTTGCAAGATATCGTTCTAAGGGTATTAAAAAGATCTGTGTACCACACTGACAGACTAAAAAGTGAATGCCAAATACGTTAGAACAAATGAAATCACAAAAATACCAACATACTCAGACTCAATCTGGAAGTTGGCGTTCTTGGAGAAATGGTATGCAGTGGTCTGTTTAGAGATGCCCGTGATTGTTGTTGCTACGGAATCAGGATCGTTTAGGTTGAACTTTTCCAACAGGTTGTACGCTGAAAACAAATACAAATTTATACGAACATTTGACGTGTGCAAAAATGCGAATGTCATTTCTATATCCAAATTACAAAGGGCAATATTTCATGTAGAATTTTGATAGAAATAAAAAGTAGTTTTATATTTTACGAACCGATATTGAGAATCTCTAATTTTATTATTTTTTTAAAATAAAAATTAATATAAAAATGTTTAAATAACATGAGGAGATCGTCGGACAAGTGACATCATCACCGTCAGCAGATTGCAAGTATGTGGCTAGTAACAGGATTACTGAATGAAATTAATCGGGTGATTTTGTAGTATTTATTATTATTTTGATAATATTTTTATTAATATTGCGTAATAATTAAATTATTTATTTATTCGTTTATTTGTTTTTTAATTTATTAGTTAATTTATTTATTTGTGCTATTTGTTTAAGGACTATACCAACTTGTTACATAAGTGAAAAACGTGTTGAACGAATAAGCTGGCGATAAATCTTGAATGAAAATAATTTAAATTTTTAATAAAATTTTCATCGTTAGCACTTGGAAGTAAATAAATTTTATCATAAAGTAATAAAATAAATAACTTTAACAGAAATATTATAACAGCATTAAATAAAACTAACTCATTTTTTCAGTATTTTCGTAATAATTTCCGAAATTTCATAATATTATGCCGATATTTTTGCCGATATTTTTATAAATTAATTACAGTAAAAATTAGTAATTTACTAACACTGAAACACTTATTGTTACCTTAATTTGGTTTCATAAATGTAATGACGTTTCATTAATATGTACACAGATGTAGTAAGTAAGAAGTCACAAAAACAGGCATCCCTTTATTCATTAAAATACAAATGAGACAAAGATGATAAAGATAACGATGTGATGATAATAAGAGAGCATGATAGTGACAAGGATGAATATGATGACGACGACGATGATGTTGTTAATGATGATGCTGTAACAAGGACTAAATGTGTTCCAGATTTATCTGTCGACATCTTTTACAAACCCATTTGTTATATAAATATATAAATAGATATAAGTGTGTGTGTGCGTGTGTATATGTGTTTGTGTGCGTGTGTGTGTTTATAGTAGTATAGTGCGACATGGGACACGTGTGTAAACATGCGACGACGAATTTTAGCAGTTAAAACAAGTACGATTTGAATAAGAGCAACAAGTTTTAAAATAACAAAATGGTGTTAAAAACAATAAAGAGGATGGAAGATGAGTTTTGTGTGCGTGTGAAACTCTTGATTACAATGATGTATGTATGAGTATTTATTCTTCATTTGTGTGCATGTCGATTTATTTGCATGACCTTGTCTATACGCACAACATGACTTTAAAACAGTTTGTATGCAATAACTCTGTTTAATACATTTTTATGTGCATGCATCTAAATTTTAGTATATGAAACATCGGTTGAACAAGTATTAACAACACAAATAAACTTGCACTGTAACCTGTGGTTGGGTAGGTGCTACAAAACGATTGAAGTTACTCCAGACTTAAGTTTGCTTTGAGAGAAATAATTCACAACTTGAATTTACAACAGAGATAAAGTTAATGATAGTAATGAAGTTGATTAATCGTGCTACAAAATGTTTTAAAATTAGATTTAATTGTTCTATCCAGTGCATGAAGCGGTGAAGCATCGCGAATGCTAACAACGTTTTGAGGACCACATGTTTTTTGCAAAATTCTTTCGCTTTTTTTACTTTTATTCGTAAACACTGCCTTATGATTTCTTCACTTATACTCTTATACTTTACTTTTTTGTACTAAATATATGCTTATGCTATTAAGATAGGATGCTGCATTACTTTTTTTATTACATTGTCATTAAGCTATTATTATCATTATATTCGTTTCACGCTGGGTTCTATCCACCCTAGCAAAGCCTCGTCTTGTAAAAATCTAAAATCACTAAACAGTAATCTACAATTGACTGACAACTTGATAATTGTTTTGAATGAATTTAAATGCATGCAGGTTATGTTGATTTGTAATTACAACATCTTTGTACAACCTGCTCACATGGGCTTATCTTCAGATGTAAACAAACAACAGTACACAAAAAACTTTAACAGCACCGTACCGCATGTTTTTAAAGTTGAAAAGATAAGTTAAAGGAAGTTGAACGATGGATCTTCTGCCTAAAACACGTCGTGAATTCAGCAGTTCATCGTACTGGGAGACCTTCTTCAAAAGAAGAGGAAATAAAGCTTTTGAATGGTTTTATAACATTTTTTCTTTATTTTGTTTTATTTTCAGTAAAAAAATTTAATATATCTGACGATGTTTTTGTGCTGACTGCTGATCTGAAGATTTGATTAAGATTGATATTGATCCACAGATCTTTGTTAATAATGCTGATTTGATGATGCTGGTGTGATTGCCTATCTAGTATCTCTCTCTCTTTGATATAGTGTCAAACAAGGAATCAGTTCCATCTTTCTATTACTGCCAGACTTTAATACTGAAACTAACATTTGCCTGTTGATCGCCACTTAATGACTCAAGTTACCAAACGTACTTGTCACATACATGATGATCGATCTTCTTGAGCGTGAGGACTGCTTATTTAAATTTTAAATCAGCTGTTGCATCCCATGTGCAGTATTGAACTGGGCTCTTACTACATTACAACAATGACTACCTCCTAGATTATGGAGTCCATTCTTAAAGATAAGAACATGCAGCTTTGCATTGGCATGCCCACTGATGAATTAATTAGGTGAATTAGAATTAATTATATTGTATTTTAAAAAGTTTATGTTCGAATATTCAATATTCAAACATTAACTTTTTTGAAAATAATACAATCAATAAACATATTCAATGTTTATTTATTTATTTTATTTATTTGTTAACAATCGAGCAAGACATGAAATCTCTAAAAGTCTAAATTTAAATGAAATGGATACAACTGATTGTCTAATTTGACGCAAAAAGTTGATGGCAAAGAAAACAACATCCTACCTCAGGAAACTGGGTCTTTGGACGCTAAACGAAGATTATTTGATATTTATTTATTTATTTATATTGAAAACAGTTCATATTATTAAATCTACCAATGAACTTATTTTTTTAAAAAATAAATGATGTTTTCTTTAGGTATGGAGAATATTCAACATTTTGTGGCTTACTGGCCAAGTACATCAAACTGACAGATGAGATATTGATCCCTGGCTGTGGCAACTCTGAGATGGGTTCTCAGATGTTTGACATCGGCTACAAGAACATTACAAGCATTGACATCAGCTCCAATGTTATAAACCAGATGACCCAAAAAAATATCAAATCTAGACCGGACTTAAAGTTTTTGGAAATGGATTTATTCAATGTTGGTGATGTATTTTTTTATCTTGTTGAAATGTTTTTAATTCTTATTAGTCATAATTTTCCATTTCCATAATTTTTAACATTTCAGACGTCATTCAATGATAACGAGTTCAATGTCATATTGGATAAAGGAACATTGGATGCAGTGTATTCAGAGGACACAGAAGAGAACAGACTGAAGGTTGATAACATGTTCAAAGAAATTGTGAGGTTGTTGAGATTGGGCGGTAGGTACATATGCATCTCGCTGGCTCAACAATTCATTGCTGAAAAGATTATCAAATATTTTAGCAATGAGTAAGTTGCATTGGTACCTTTATAACAATTTGTATGATTTTAGTTCTTTACAGATGATATCACCTTATTTCGTTATCATTTTATTTCATAATTTTTTCAATAGAATAATGCGACATTGGTATTTTTATTTTATAATTTAATATAATTTAACTTCAACACAGAGGTTGGCTGACAAGAGTTTGTTTGGCACAGAAAGATGAGGAGGATGACAGCTCTAGTGATAAGAATGAAGATGATAAGAAATTATTCAACATGCCAATCTTTATGTTTGTTCTCACCAAGTTTAAAAAACTACCAAACTCAAAACCTGTAAGTGTACTTTTTTTTTCTTTTTAAAATAGTTACCAAAAATTTTCAAGCATAAAATTTTGTAGTGGCATTTTTGGGCATTATCATGTCATGTGTTTCATTTTCTGTAATATCATATTTTTCCCTAATTAATTTTTAGATTTTCGAAAGCAGTTTTTTTGAAAGCAAAATTGAGAGACACGACAGCGTATCAGATCTCCTTTCAGCAATAACAGATCTACAGAACTATGCTCTTGTGAAGCAAAATTTAAGACAGGGGTGAGACATTCATTTATCTTGCCATCTCTTCATTTTATTTTGGTTCAGAGATCTGTCTTAGAATTGTATTACCTTTTATTGTTCATCTTATAAAACAGCTCAACTTTAAAAAATCGTTTTGTTGTGCACATACAGGAAAACATTGGAAGACCAGTTGTGTGTGACGCTGTACAATTCCTCGTTATCATCACCCCGATACACCATTTATGTGGTGGATGGCCGAGGTAACAGGAAGTTTGCTATCTTCATTGTCCCTCAAGGAAGGTGGTTCATTGCTAAGTTCACGGAATTTATGATTCTTTTAATAATTTTTATGCATTTTTTAGTAATTAGATTTGCAGAAAGTTTACTTAATTGTAGTGTTTTATTCATTTATATTTAAATGTATCATTTTTCAATTTCCACTTATTTATATTTCTAACATTATCTGACTGAAAGAGAAACCGAATGGATGTTCTCGACATATGAAGGACGAAAGCAGCTGCACAAAAGTTGCAATTATGAGAGGCTTCTAATTGTCCTACTCAATAGGTTTCATGAATATCCATCACTGGACCTCGTTAAGAAGGAGTTATCTTCGAAAGTGCTCCAATTGGCTCCTCCAAATGTTGATAAGCAGGTCAACTAGTTCGATTTTCATTCAGTTTTTTACTATGATTATGTTTTAAAGTTGACTCATTACAAACGATTTTGTAGTTTATTACTGTACATCAAACCTGAAAAAGTACACTCAAATATTCGCGAACCTTAATCAATGCAGATTCGTTTCTTAAGATTTTTTATAACTGACTACAAAAATTAAAGTTTATCAAAACCTGCATCCTAGCAACTGCATTGCAAGTCACTCAAGCAGTATTTTACAACAACAAAAACAACAAAACACAATTCAACCTCACAGAGTCCTTTCTTGACACTTGGCGAGTCAGTCAGCGTTCGTTCGAAGCAGTACGAAGGTCGAAGTGAGTTGAGTGGAGGATTCGTCGTGGAAGATGTACAGATTGATAACAAGTTGTTCAGGAGGTTGATCTTCTACAACAGACCGGAGGTTGTCCAGTCGGAAGTTCTTCTTAAGAAAGGTTGCTAGTGAAGATATGGTGGAGAGGATGGATGGTGCATGGTGTTGTGAAGGTGATGTTGGTACATGATGGTGGTGATTTTGATAGTGCTGATGATTATGAAGATGATCATGATCATATTAATAATCAGACATGTTTCTTTTAATTCCCTCTTCCATTTTAGTCGTAAAAAGAAGCAAGAAGAAGCACCAGAAGCCGGTGGAGTCATATGAGGTCGACCACGCACACATGACATGCAGTTACTACCCATCTGTTATTGCTGGCCTCCTCTTTGTACAGGACTTTCTTAACAAATTAGGTTCATGATTTTGCTTAGATGCTTAATGTCTTAATGTTACTTCGTGACTCATAAATGTAAGTTATTAATTGCTTTACTGACTGATCAATAAGTTTTTTGGTTAATTGCTTAATTAGTTGGTTTACTAGTTATTTAGTTTTTTACCTATTTGATTAATAATGTGATTAATATTAATTGATGGAATGATTCATAAGCCCACCGCTTATAACTGTGGTTGCGTAAGGATGGGCGTCCTGCGTAAAAACTAGCCAAAAATAATACTTATGATGACGGAAATAACAATGGCCCTCAGTATCCGGCAGAAGAGGGTGCGAAGAATCTCCGGAGACCCAGTCCATGGGGTTGTGGTGCAAGGCCCTGTGGATGGTCTGGCTACTGGCACCCCACTCTATAGTGTGGCGGTGCAAGGCACTATAGATGGAAGGACTACTTGTAGACCAAGGGGTTGGAGGTTTGGTACTTTGAATGTAGGCACGTTGACACGAAGAAGTTTGGAAGTGGTGGAGGAGCTGCAGAGGAGAATGGTTGACGTGGCTGCATTACAGGAGATCAGATGGAAGGGTGAAGGTACAAGGTTTGTGGGGGCTAAAGGTGGAAGATATAAGTTGTGGTGGAAGGGGGATGATGGTACTGGAGGAGTTGGTGTGATGGTAAGAGAAGAGTTGGTGGAGAAGGTGTTGGAAGTGAGGCGGAGAAGCAATGGTGTAATTGTGGTGGTGATGGTGTTTGGAAAAGTAATAGTGAGGGTGATATCAGGATATGCTCCGCAACAAAGTAGGAAGGAAGAGGAGAAGGATAGGTTTTATGATGATGTTTCTGACGAGATTGGGCAAGCGGGGTTGAATGAGTTTGTGGTGTTGTTGGGTGATTTGAATGGTCATGTGGGGGCGGATGCAGACGGATATGAAGGTGTTCATGGGGGATGGGGATATGGTATACGGAATGAGGAAGGGCGTAGAGTGTTGGAGTTGGCGGATGCACATAGCATGGTGGTGGGGAATACTTGGTTCACAAGAGAACCAGCGCGATTGATTACTTATAGGTCAGGGGAACATAGATCGATGATAGACTATATATTGGTAAGGGCCAAACATAGGAAGTATGTGAAGAATGTGAAGGCGATACCTGGTATGTTGCAGCATAGTATGGTTATGATGGATGTGACATCAAAAGAAATGGGGAGGAGGAAGAAGGATAAGTTTGTGGCAAAGAGAAAGACATGGAAGTTGCAGGATGCAGAGGTGAGGAAGGCATTTGAAGTGAAGGTGGCTGAAAATTGGGAGAGTAGTAAGGATGGAGATGTTTGGGAGAGATACAGGGACTGTGTGTTGGCTACGGCAGATAAAGTCTGTGGATGGACGAAAGGAAAGTGTAGGCATGGTGAGACGTGGTGGTGGGATGAAGATATAAGAAGGGTTTTGGAGGTCAAGAAGGAGAGGTTTAGGGTATGGAGAAGGGACATGACGGAGGAAGCGGAGTTTGAGTATAGGAAGGCTAAGAAGGTTGCAAAACAGGCAGTGGCAACTGCAATGACGAAAGCATCAGATAGGTTAATGAAGGAAATGGAATCTGATGTGAGTTCGAGGAAAATGTTTAAAGTAGCAAAGCAGTCAATGAGGGATAGGAAAGATGTTATAGGGAATGGATGTGTTTGGGATGGATCTGGCAAGTTGTAAGGAGGAAAAAGCTCAGGTGTGGAAAGCTCATATGGAAAGGTTGATGAATGAAGAGAATGAGTGGGATGGAGATGTGGAATCCGCGGTCACACACAGACCTATAGAGAAGGTGACGATGGAGGAAATAGAGAAAGCAGTTAGAGAAATGAAACTAGGTAAGGCTACAGGGGTTTCGGAAGTGGCGGCAGAACATATAAAAGCGAGTGGGGTGATAGGAATTGAAGTTATGATGAGAATTGCTAACAGTATGTTTGATGATGAAGGTATACCTGAGGATTGGCGACACAGTGTGTTGGTGCCGTTGTATAAGGGCAAAGGAGATGTGAGAGATTGTGGGTCATATAGGGGTGTGAAATTACTAGAGCACGGAATGAAGGTAGTGGAGAGGGTGCTTGAGAGGAGGTTGAGAAGTATGGTGACAGTTAATGAAATGCAGTGTGGGTTTATGCCTGGTAGGGGAACGGTGGATACGTTGTTCATGGTGAGAATGTTGCAGGAGAATTATAGAAAGAAGAAACGAAGATTGTACATGTGTTTTGTGGATCTAGAAAAGGCTTTTGATCGAGTACCGAGGAAAGTCATTGAATGGGCGTTGAGGAAGAAAGGAGTGAATGAGAGACTTGTTAAAGCTGTGATGCAGCTGTATGAAGGGGCAAAGACAAAGGTGAGGGTTGGAAGGGGGATGTCGGACGCTTTTAGTGTTAAGATAGGAGTGCATCAAGGATCAGTGTTATCACCGTTTCTGTTTGCAATTGTGATGGATGTTGTGTGTGGAAACATAATGGA